CACCGTTGAAAAGCAGAGCCAACTTTATAAATTTTACACAACTATATTCAACCGGAATCATATAGCATGGTGTGGACACTGTCTCAGTAGTGCTTTAAATCGCTCCTATACTTCATAAATAGATTCGCCTTCAAACTTACAAAAAGATGTAATATCATTTTTAAACTTCAAAGTTTTTTATGGTGGAAAATATTTAACAATTAATTTCTATGCTAAATTACCCCAAGTTCTGATAGATCCAGGTGCTAACAAATGTAATCATACCTTAGCCTTATCCCTCAGTGTGAAAGGAAAAAGTCTAATTCTTATAGCGTCATTTGATACACCATCATGTTTAAATGTAGCACACAATTCTAGAAAACTGGCAAGATGTAATTTGGATCTTCAATTGGTACTCCCTCAAATTGCTTATTTGATACCATTTGGATAATAATGAATTTAGATTCAAATGAATTAGCCACTACAGTGGTTTTTTGAGTACTACAATGAAGTTTATCCACCATAGGGTTTTCATAATCTCTTAAAGGTCTAAACTCTTCAATATTTTGATTATTTTGATTTGCCATTTCTTGAAATTTTTTATTTTTTCAGTAATTTTTAATTTTTTAATATTTTTTAATTAATTTTTTAATTTTTCTAATAATTTTTTCTAACTCAGAATCGTAAGACACAAGTCCTGTGGAACCTGAACTATGCATACATTACTACAAAATACATAAAATAAAATAAAAACGCACAAACAAGAATTTTATGTAAAAACACACTACAATATTCCTATAAAAAATTAAAAATTTTGATTAAGACTTTATAAAAATAGAATTTTGCTTTCTAAAAAGTTCCTTATAAACTTTGTAATGTTCCCCAGTAACAGCGATAAAAACTTGATCTCGATGTTCTAGATAAATGTCAAATATGATGTATGTGATTATATGCTTAATTTCCTTAATAATAATTCGTACTTTGCAACGACGCCAAAAACATAAACTGTAGCATAAGCTAGGTGAATTCTTAACTTTGAAGCAAATAAGATTACAATTATAATATTTAAATATGGGATACTACACAAGTATAGTTTTGTTATTAAGTAATATAAGACTTTTCGATTAAACCTTGAATATCAAACCCATAGAGAAAACTATAATATGCAACTTATAAAATAGGAGAAATTAGATAGCAAAATATTCTTAAACTTTAGATATCAAAATAGGAATGAAAGTTCAATTCTTTTTGAATTTTTTTATAATTGAAAATAAAGTAAGCAACTAATTAACTTAACTAAATACTTGCAAGATGAATGCAATATAAATAAAATATGTTTTTTGTTATTATAAATTAGTAACAAGTATAAGAATTTTGTTGTGGAAGTATTCTAATTGTGTTATGCCAAATAGGAGAAATAATATTCTTTACTATAAAGAACATTAGCTAATCTATAGTTTGAATAGTCTTGACGACGGGTTAGGTAGAGATGATACTAGCTCTCACTCTAGATTTCCCTCTTCTGCCTCCACTTAAGGGCCAACACCTTGTTTCAAAACCTAAAACTATAAATCAAATTGGTGGCTTTAGCATGTCACTCTATAGTCCTCTAATTCCACACCCTTCAAAGTTTTTTCCCCTATTCATTTTCACTCAACCCCATGAACTACATTCTCAACCATGAAATTAAATGTGATTCTCACAATTTGTTGACTGATACAATACCATCTCAGATCTTATATGTTTTAACGACAGGTATTAACATCTTAATTTGACAAATCAAGAAGTAAATGAAGTACAAGGTTTGAAATCGTTAATATTAAATACTAATACTTAACACAACTTCCTTTCAATACTTAACCGCATATCATTTTAATGAAAAAAGATAAAAGAAAACTACTCATAATTCATGAAGAAAACACAACCACACTTGAGTTTAAAAGTAGAAATCATGCACATAAACAAGTAAAATAAACAAGAAGTCTAAATTAAAAACAAATGTAGTCACAAAGATAAACACTTATCTCAAATCCTCTACACCAAATATCTTGGAGTTCATTTAAATCTCTTCCTTCACTCACAATAGAAACAAAAACTCAAAATAAAAAGAAAAGGCGGCTAGCGGCGGCGGTGATAGCGTTACTCGGATGGATGGATGATGATTGACCATTGGCCCCTTGATGATCCAAGTCTTCTTTAATAAAAATCCAAGAGGTGCCTTGGTGTCTCTCCAAAATGTGTCTCCTTTTAATGAATCTTCTAGAAGTTTCCTCCTTTCAAAAGTCAATTAAATGAAATTTCGTGTTCATGAACTATTTCCCCCGTTTTTACCAAGGGTTGCTTCAAACACCTCTTCAAAAATTCATCTAAATTTAAGGAATCATCAAATAACTACTTATGACGCTTAACCGAGGGGTACCTGGAGCTTAGGTGCGGCTTTCTGTGTATTTTGCGCGTAAGCGCCGATCCTGGGGACTTAGCCGCCATAGTTCTTTTTTGCACCGTCTTCATTTTTGCTCCAAATTAGATCCTTTTTCACTTCTTTTATCATTTTTCATCCATTTGATTGTACCTGAAAGAAAAACACACAAATGCCTTTCATTAAAGTGTAATTACTTAGAAATAGGTATAAAATACTTAGAAATAGGTAGAAATAGGTATAAAAATGTGTATGTAAAGAGTATATATTTTAGGTGTATCAATTGACATGTTGATTAAACTGGAAGATATAGAGAAAATTCGGAACTTGATGGAGAAATTATCAAATTAGTTTGAGATGAATGATTTAGGTTTAACTAAGATGATCCATGAGAAGAGAATCAGTAGAGATAGGAGTGCAAATACACTAAAGTTGTCTCAGGTAGAGCATGTTGAGAAAATTCTATAGAGGTTCAACATGAGTGAGAAAAAATTAATTTGTACCCTTTTAGGTAGTCACTTCAAGCTATCTAAGGAATTATCATCTAATCTGATACAATGAAAGCACAGATGAGGAGAACTTTGCATGCATCAACTGTTGGGAGTCTGATCTATGATCTGATATGTATGAGACCAAATATTTTACATGCAATTGGAGTAGCAGCTACATGAGTAATCTCAAAAATAAATCATTAAGAGGCAGTGAAGTGGATTCTCATATATTTGAGGGCAACAATCAATAGGATACTAAGCATAACAGAATATATATTCACATTGAGGAACACAAAAGTGAGTTGGATTTCCAAAATGTATAAGATTATTAAACCTTCAACTTTTGAAGCCGAAAAGATTAGGATCACTGAAGCTAACAATGATATGCTTTAACTACAGAGCTTTATAGCAAAACTGGATAAGCAGCAGCAAATTGAAAAGTATTACAATAACAGTGTAAGTGTCACTCATGTTTTTAAAAAAGAAATTTTTCATATGGAGATAAATCATAATCAGCTTAATGCATTATATTATCCTTTCTCTCCTATATCATGGATAATTATTCTTAGAGAAGATAAACACAACTTAGAATTTTGCAAAAATACTAAATATTGTAGTAACTACGAAGAAATTGGAGTTATTTTTGCCTTTAGTCGGAGTCTATGAAGATTAAAATTGGAGGTGTGCCACACTATGTTACGAGACTATCAAAGGTAGTACAAATATTGATGCAGGTCTGGAGGATAAATGTTGGGCACAAATCAGTCTCCAAGTAAGAGATTATTGGGTGTATAGTCTGATTGACTAAGACTTAAGCAGTAGCAACGGTAGAGACAAAAGAATCCCAATGGAACAAAAACAACGCCCCTTTGCCACAAAATTTGCCTAGCCACACCAATATTAGGGTAGCTATGCCAAATGGTATTGTTATCCAAGTAGGGACATGCCTACACCGCTATTCTTTCGATTCCAGATTCCAAAACATTGCGATTGGAATAATTACGTCAAGGAGTTGCGTGATTACGTCAGTGACAGTTTTTTACACAATTTGTATCTTAAGACCTCATTTCTGAGGGATTATATTCTCACTCTTGTGAATCTCTTGGATGCGGTGAAATATCAAAGGGCTTTTATATTGAGCAGAGGAGTTCCAAGAGGTAGATTTTAGAGCGTGTGATTTCTTATGTGATCAAAAAAGGATTTGGTATGTAATTGTTATAAGTTCCAATGGTGCTGAAAGAAGATCTGAGTTGTGGAAATATATTTACTCTTTAAAAGTGAATTTTTTGTTGTAGGATTACTTTGTTGTGTACTTCTATTCAATATATTATTTTGAATGTCTCCAACCAATGTGATCTTTTTTCTGTGATATGATTTTAAATGAAAACCGATTATAGCTTAAATTTTCATCTGAATACTATTGTGTATCAAAGCCCATCATGCTTTTATATTTATTTGACTATTTATAATGAAGTTAAACTTTAGTTTCTACATATCCTTAAAAGAATAGCTTCAGATTTTTTTTTTTCATTTTTTGCGAAATTTTGCAAGTTGCTAGCTGCGAATTAACTCGGCTCAAATAGTGACATTGGGTAAAGGTCGAGGATTCTTCTCTCAAAATTAATTATGAAGTTGTTAGATTAGGAAAAAATATATAGTCGGACATCTAATCACGAAAGTTCACGTCTATATATACCAAAATTCATATCATGACCTTTTGTAATTGGGGCTTCCGGATGTGTTAAATTAAAGCTTGATAGGGAGTGCATATAATACTGAAAGGCATGAGATGCCGTCACTAAAATGGGACAAGTCTGAACGAGAAAAATATTATTAAGAGCATATTTGTGCAGACTTTTAATGAGCATTGCTTCGAGGGAAGTATAGGCTAAGCTGGAGTGGAGAAATCTCCGCAGGCTATGATTCGCTGGATAGTTTTTAACTAGTTTACGCCCGCGGACTGGCGACTCCTTGTCTAACCTAGAAATCTATCTAGCCACGTTTCATCTTCATTTTATGAAAGAGCACACGTGTCACCAAGCGGATGCCACTATTCTCCAGTAGGGGCATTATCGTAAATCTATTTTCCTTAACTAGTGTCAAAACTTAACCCCTTTCTTGCTGTCAACCAGTTCCCGATCTACTTGGTTGCCTCGTTTCTTCTCCGGCTACCGTCGGCGGATTTTATGCAAAATCTTGTCTTTCTAACTCATCTTTTATCGTAATCCACTCCTTTTCGTGAAGATGTTTCCTTTTGTGTAACTAGTTTTCGTATTAATGGATATTAAGCTGCTAAAACAAGAAACGGAGGAGCTGTCCTATCCCAGGGACCTTCTTTGGCGACTCGCTGGCGCAGGATTAAATAACGAACGCCCTCCTATGAAGCTTGATATAGAGCCGGAGTTAAGCTTGGGGCTTTCTCTCGGGGGATGCTTTGCCTCGGAGCCAAGGGAGATGCGGCTCGTGCGGTCGTCGTCTATTGCAACGCTCTCAGTGTTCCCAAATGAGCCGGCCTCTTCGTCTCTTGTGCGAACTTGCTCTCTTCCCGTTGAGGCCAACGAGGAGAATCGGAAGCGGAAGGAGATGCAGAGCTTGAAAAGGCTTGAGGCGAAGAGGAAGAGAACGGAGAGAAGGAGCAGTTGGAGACCTCCGATGGTGTTTACGGGGAGCGGGGATCCTAAAGAGGAACCGTCTAGGGCGATGGCGCTTCGGAAGGACAGTTCGGATTTTGATGGAGGGGCGTTGGAAGGTATGGATTCGAGATAGAATAAGTTTACCGTTTTCTTCGTTTATTGGATTTAAAGTAATCAAGTTCGTTGTTCATTTGTTGCTTACGCTGCAATTTTACCTATGTTTAGAGGTTTTCGCATTGGAGGTCATTGGGCACTTTCCTTCATAGAAATGCTATTTTTTTTGTCAACGAACTTAGTTCTGGGTTTGCGGGATTGGTTAGTTTTAGCCTAATTTTTTATTTTCGGAAATGAGTTCTCTTTTTTTGATTTGATAGGTTTTCTTCTTAGTTATTGTTTGTTTAAGCTCTTCTTGGTGCGTAGGGAAGTTTTGGTTCTTGGTTTGAGCTAGTTCGCAGATAGATATATGCTTTTAATTTATACAGTGTATGTATATTACTGAGGGATGTTTCGCACTTGTAAAATCAGTAAAACTTTTTTAATACATATGTTAATTTGGATTATCAGATATAAGACATGGTGCACGAGAAGGTGGTGACCTTGAGCACATCATTTTATGATTCATGTCAGAGAATCTGTTGCGATTATGCTTAATTGAAGAGATGTAAAGGCCATTTTTCTATATTACTGTATGGATGTCATTAAATTTTCCTTGAATATTTTTGCACAGTTGTAGCTGGTTTGTCATTAAATTTTGTTTATTTCTACTAAACTTTTATTTTTAGTGTTGTATAAGATTTATTTTCCTTGAATATTTTTGCACAGTTGTAGCTGGTATTGCCATCTTTATGCTTATTAGAATTTTGTTGAACACTTTAGTTTGCTGCAGTGGTTCCCTACAAATAACTGCTCTATAACTTCATTCTTCAGTCATTCCTCAAAACTCTCAAATTTTAACTATTAACCATGTTGTGAAGCTTAGATTTCTGTGATGTTAACTACAGGAAGATTCAAATTATTTTAAGTCTTGAGAGCAGAGTTTATTCACACTTACAGATTTGCTGACTATTGTTTAAACTCTATTTCATTAATATTTTTAATGAGAGAGAGAAGTCATTTTTTCATGATTATTTTGATTCTGTTGGAAAATTTAGGAACAAAAGGAGCAAATAATCAATTTACTACTTATTATCTTCCTGACTTTAGTCTGACTGAACGTATTATCACTCCAAGTTTGCTGTTACACTATTGATGCTCTTGAGGGTTGACTGGTCTCAATGGATCTTGTTTCATGTTTGGAGGTATTCTTTCCTGATCATATATCGTCTCCATGATATTAGTAGGATAATAAAATTCTTGAAGTTCTTTCTGTAATTTCAAGCTAAATGTTGCCATTTTATTTCTCTAGCTCTGTCATTTTAGCCATATCAATTTTTGTGAGTTATGTTTAGTAAGTTTGCAGTAGTTTTCTATCTATTAAATCTTATGCACAATTTGGAAATTCAAACCAATCTATGAGCGAAGTAATCTACTAATATTTCTCCACTTAAATTTTTTATAACATTTTCATGGTTAGTGCAAAATTTAAACTATACTACAGGTATACACTTTTGTCCTTAGAATCCTTTATTTCCTTTTTCCGGTCTAATTCTGTCCACCAAGTCATCTACAAAATTTTCACCTATGATAGAACTTACTACCATTTTTGGAAGTGTGCAATGTGAGATGATGGTTAAAAAATTTGTGCAGTTACCAATTTAATTTGCTCTAGATAATGCCGTTGTAGCAATTTTCAGTCATGTATTGGGTCATTGCATGGCTATGGCGTAGAATGGGCCATGATTATTATACATCTCCATTCGGTAGTGTTCTACTGGAAGAATACATGTTTGGTTGTTTTGGCTGATTGAAGTATATATTTGTCTAAGTTGTTTGCTTGTAGATATCACTAATATTTTGTTGTTGAGCTGACTCAAGCATAAACTTAATAGATTTACTCTTTCTTGCTTGTTTACAGAATCGGATCTCTCAAGCTTAAGCAACTCTTCAGCTGTTACTTCATTGCCTGACACCGCTCACAAGTCCGTTGCTACAGATTCAATACCGCAGCGGCTAAGATCCCTAAATTCTTTGCAGGGAGATGATATAGCGTTGAAGAGGATGACAGACAACATAAACAGACCGCAAGATATGGGAAGGAATATGATGGATGAGATGCCGTGTGTGTCAGTTAAAGGAGATGGCCTTAATGGAAGGAGGATTGAAGGCTTCCTCTACAAGTATAGGAAAGGTGAAGAGGTAAGGATAGTCTGTGTTTGCCATGGCAGCTTCCTTACTCCAGCAGAGTTTGTCAAGCACGCTGGAGGAGGCAACGTGACCCATCCTCTCAGGCATATAGTCGTTAACCCTTCCCCTTCAATTTATTACTAATGCTTCTTATGTGGACTTCAGGATTTCATCTACTACCAAGCTTGATCTGTCACTGAAGTATCAAGGGAAGGATAGTCTCTTCTTTTTTACTCCATTCTCGATTCCCTTGTCGTGAAGTCCCATCCCTTCTTTTTTTCTTGCTTTTTTTTTTTATTTTCCTTGAATGAATGAATGAATGAATGAGAGAGCATATGGAAGAAGTCTTTACTTGTTGGCTTTTTTGATTCCTTCGACTTTTCCTGTACTGCATGGGGTGATTTATGTCTACTTGTTGGTATCCATATCTCCTAGTGTTCGTCTTCTGGGTTTCTTAATTCCTTATTGCGGTAATCTCTCTCACAATTTTTTCGCGGTGTTAAGAAAATTATAAATGAATAGCTCCTCTGTCCATAATTGTCCACGCTTGTCGGCCTTTTGCTTTGTTTCATTGTTTTATGCGGATTTGTTCGTTATAGACGTCTACTTTTTGGGTGATTATGCTTCTTATGGTATTTGCAGGGCACATATTTGAACCGAAAGCCGTTGTTATTGATCTAATTTGTTGATCTTAAAAATAAATCTGCTAATTAGAGGCTATTTGGTGATGCATTCTATTCCAAACTTTTGTTTTCTTGAATAGTAGGAGAAAATAAATTAGCTATATGAGATATAATATATATATATATATATATATATTATATATATATTAAATTTTTTGTTTTTTTTAGGTGATGATTTAGGTGGCTTATTTTGATAGTATATTATTATGAAAATTAAATATTCTATGTAATAATTAAATAATTTTATTTGTCTTTATTAAAATCATATTATGATTATATTAGGTTTATAATAATATTTTTTTTTTCAAATATTCAATCGCTTTATTGTGCTTAGTGCCAATTGAATAAAAGGACAGAGTAAACCCTTCATTTTTTACCATTTTTTTTTTTGAGGATTCCAAAGTTGTGACCGATTCATTTCATGAAGCAAAAATATGCTACATAAAATGCACCGAAGCTAATCAGTCAATTTGGATGCTACATAAAATGCACCGAAGCTAATCAGTCAATTTGGATAGAGTACTGTTATGCGAACTATCCTACGAGATCCACTCTTCTGTTGAAGTATTTAGCTACTCATTACAGTTTATTGTGCCTTCTTAACAAATTTCATGCAATAGACATTGCTACATGTTTTCATCACCAATACTTGCAGTATTTAGTTCATCCTTAGATTTTGAGTACAATTTTGCACAATTATCACACCTTCCTACATCTCTCAAGTTGGTGAATGGATATCTTCTATTCTTAATTTATCAATAATCTTCTGAAATGCTGCATTTCTAAGTCTCCTTGTGAAGACATGCTAAGTGATACCACTTGTTTAAATATATGTTGCACAAATTAAATTTGAATTATGATCTACATTGGAGTCTAAAGGCCTTCGTTTGACTAGATCTTAAATTGAATACATAGAATGTAATTTTAGTAGTATGAGATCTAGAGCTAGGAGTTGTGAGTATGGGTAATCAAATCAATAAAAGACGTGAATGTTTAGATATTTTTGGTTTATTGTTCGAAGTGATGGTGTACATATGGGGATGATATTAGTGGAATTCAAGTTGGTTGAAGTGGAGGATTGACAAGGGTCATTTGTCTGATAGAAAATTATCGCTTAAACTTGAAAGGAAAATTTGATGAGATGACGGTGTGTCATGTAATGCTCTATGGCTCAGAATGTTGGCCTTTAACAAAGAAACATAAAGCTAAGTGTTGCTAAGATGAGGTTCCTTAGTTGGATGAGTGAAATGAATTTATCCATGAAAGGTGCTGTGGCTCTACTGGCAGGCAAGATTAGAAAGTGTCTTCTTATTTGGTCACATTAAACATGATATTTGTTAAAACGGCATAATAAAGTGTAATAAGTAGCTAAATACTTCAACAGAAGAGTGGATCTCGCAGGATTGTTCGCAAATTAGTACTCTATCCAAATTGACTAATTAGCTTCGGCAAATTTTATGTGGCATATTTTTGCTTCATTAAATGAATCGGTCACAACTTAGGCATCTTAAAAAAAATTATGCTATAAAATGAAGGGTTTACCCTGTCGTCTTATTTAATTGGCACTAAGCCTCGTACCTCAAAAAATAATAGTAAAAAATTATATCATGAAACTCAACTGCTTAAGATTTTTAAGATATTTTTCGGAACTGTGAATACTTGTTCAAATAAGATTAATCTAGCCTTGCATGACTCGGTGACATTGCAATTCAACAGTTAAATTTGTATTTAATGATTGGTTGACTAAAGCACAGTTTTACCACTACCTAAAACTTACTAATCTAGTAAATTTAGATTTCTTTTATTTTTGCCAGGCGTCCGGGTGGGCAATAACTCTTCTGGACTGTAATAATTTTTTATATTTTTTTATTTAGTTTAGAAATTTATTAATTCTATCTCATTCTATTTTTTTTTTTTGTCAATATTTCAAAAAAATAAATAATTTATTATTTTGCACTTCTTAAAAGATTATACTGATTTCGCCCCTGAATTTGTCGTATGAGGCATGAGATAATTTTTTTCATGAATTTTGTTAAAGTTCCCGATTTTCTATTGGTCAGACATATACTGTTCATAATTTATATTTGATTCTACTATCAAGCAGGTTTGTCCTCTTAAATCCTGAAGTTACTTCGAAGTTTAGGACTTTCCTAGGTCAAACACCTGAACATCATCAAGGAATTCGCCATTTGAAAGCAGTTTGGAAAGTGACCTGAGAATTTCATAAAAGTAGTTCAAGTCGAACCTCCAAATGACTTTTTAATTTTATTTTATATCACAGCTATATGACGTGTTACATTTATCTTTAAATAATTTTATAATTTTCGAAATTATCTAAATAACATCTTTGATGTTTTGATATTGCAATTTTTATTAGAAAAAATGAATATTCCAATTAATTTTTTTCTGAAGAATCCAGTATGTTTGAACTCTCTCTGAGCGTGACCAAAGATCCCAAGAGCATGAAGGTAACAAATCCGGCAGAGCCACTCCACAGCTTGCCTAGCAAAGCATCGATGGTTGGAAAAGGGAAGTGGGTGACTTGTCATCTAAATCTAATCGCAGAAAATTTAAAATGGTTAAACCCCAAAAAAATAAAAAAGTAAAGTCTGACCGCAAACCTTGTAAAGTTGGAAAAATTATACGGTCCGGGCACCTCACCCAAAATTAGGTTCGGTGTCCAATTAAAAAGTGTAACGTGAAAATGCGAGGCACAACACAAAAAAAAAAAAAAAAAAAAAAAAATGTAATTTTTTTACTGCACGACCCGACCCGAGTCCCGCGCAATCCTTTGAAAGTAGTTTTTTTTTTTTCAGATCGCGCAAATTTGAATATAATGTCTCTTTTTTGTCATTTTGGATCCCACCAAATTGGAAAAATGAAAATTTTGTTTCTTTTAGGTTTAGGGTTTAGGCATCTTTTTCATTTGCATGTTATTTTCATTTACGTTTGTTTTCAACGGCTAGGGTTAGTGACCCGATGTTCCGATGAAATTCTCTCTCGACCAGAAAATGTTGATGAAATCTCAAAATATTTGCGAGAACTATGCCAATATGGTGAGCTTAGCTACGGTCGGAAGTACTTAATAGATGAATTTAGCCTAGAATGAAATTATTCCGCAACTAGGTTTGATTGGTTTTACTGTGGTATTTTTACTTGTATGAACCTTCTTATTGTTTTGATTTGTTATTGCAGTATTGTGATGATTTTTACACAATGTTACTCGGTATTACTGGTGTTATTTAATGATTTATATTGTTAATAGATTAAATTATTCGATTTTATTGGAGTATTATTCTGGTGTTATTACTGTATTGTTTGATTGTAACATTACCATAATGTTGGAGGGGGGACATGGTGTTATTTAGGTGTTATCATTGTGTTATAGTTGTATTATTGATTCTAATTTTTTGGTTTTTTGGAGTTTTAGTTTGGCATTTAATGTTACTATCCTCGTGATATTATGGTGTTTTTTATCTGTATTATTGGCTTATAACGGTAATTAGGTGTTATTTATGTATTATCATGGGGTTATACAAGTGTTATTGGAATGTTATTTTGCTATTGTAAATGGTGTTATGCGGGTGTTATTATGGTATTATTATGATATTATTTATGTACTATTGGCTGTGAACTATACCTTTGTGTTGAAGTGGGGAAGTGGTGATATGTAGGTATTTTCATAGTGTTATACTAGTCTTATTAGATTTATTGACCAGTTTTATTGGAGTGTTATTTTTGTCGTTCAAATGGTGTCATGTTGAAATTTGTATTTCCCTGAGCATGTAAGTGTTTGCAATGATGTAATTGTGGATAACTTGCTTCGCGTAGTTGTCTAGAATGAGAATGAAGTCTATGAACAATATTTTGCCCATGCAAACCAAATTAGATTTACTGTGCGAAAGAAACACAATTGTTTTTGGTCGAATTCAAAGAGAATTAAGAAAAATGACTTCATTTGTGGTAAGGTTGATTTCAAGAAAAACTTGAATCACAATGTCACAGTGAAGTTTAGAAGAGGGGACGCATTGACTGGTTGTCCAACCATGATCTGATATGCCATCGATGTCGAAGGTACTGGTCGGGTAAGAAATTTATAGAAAGTCATAACCATCCTTTGGCAGTGGACGGTGATAAGCATCTATTACGTTCTAGCAGAAAGATAACAACATCAATGCATAAGTGCTCAGATTGATGACACAACTCGCAATTAGAACAAGCGATGCATTTTGTTTCATAGCTGCAGAAGTCGGGGGAGTGGAGAGTCTTGACTGCACGAAGAGGGATGTGTATAATTTCATACAAAGAGAGGGAAAAGTTCACACTAAACATGGGGACGCTAATTCTCTACTTCAAGTGTTCACTAAGAGGCAAGCTGAGGATACCATGTTTGCCTGAGACGTCCAAATTAATGAGTTTGGTCGTTTGTTGAATTTCTTTGGAGTAATGGGATATCCAAGCATGATTAGGATTACTTGGGGATGTCATAATATTTGATACATGTTATAGACTGAATAAACACAATTTATGTTGTGCTCCAACCACTTGAAGAATATTTTATTTGAAGTTGGTTTTTTATCAAATGAAACAATCTACACTTTCAAGTGGCTATTCAAATTCTTTATCCGGATAATGGATAATAAGCACCCAATAACATTATTGATACATCAAAAATATATGTATTTTTAGACTTATATTTTATACTAATTTTTGGTGAAATTGTGCTTTAAAGGAATGTATTTTTCATGTTTTTTTTGCAGGTTGATGATTTTTAGCACTTAAAGCAAAAAAGGAAGCAAAAATAATGGAATTTGGAGTCAAAATGTCGTTTTGGAAGTAAAAATCAGCGTCGATGATGCCAGTGAGGACGCCGACAATGCCAGCAAGGACGCCAACGATACCAGCAAGGACGCCGATGAAGCCAGCATGAAGGAGGAGTCCAAAACAGCGGGGGCGTCGA